AAAGAAACAAGATTTTTTTTTTTCCTCTATTTTTAAGCTTATTATAACGCAAATGTAATACTAATGCATCTATATGTATATTTAAATGGTAGAAATGATTTCTTTTTATCCAGTTGACTTTTTATGTATAAATTATTGTTACGCCCGCCCACAGATTTTTATGCATATATTACTTATATTAGGACAGTATGTCCTATTTGTCAGTCAATGAATTTTCAAACACGTGAAATAATGCAGGATTTTCATAATAATTATTATATAATTATAAAATACATTACTGTAATTAACATTTTTTCATATTTATTAAAAAGATTTTATGCAGTATGATAACTATTTACGTATACAGATTATGTACTAAATTAATGTTTATTGATTAAATGTTGGAACTTGTAAATTTAATAATCGTTCAACTTCTTTGGCAATCCTATTTTCTAATATACTTGGTAAATTTTCACTTACTAATTCAGTTTCTTTAATAAAACAAGCGATCCTATCACGTAAATGATCCCACTTTTTTAATTTATATTTTCCTTGACATACAGTTTCCAAATATTCTAGCAATAGAGCTCTTGATCTTTTTCTTCTTGTTTCATTAATTCTATTTGTACCTTTATCATCATCATCACCACTAATATTTGTCGGAGGATTATCTACATATACAATATTTTTACATAATTGTACCATTTTAGCGATTGTTTCGTTTTCCTTACGTAAATCTTCTTTATCTTTTTCGCATTCGTCTTCATTTTTAAAATCACTAAATTTAGTTCTCACAATAGTAGTATAATCAAAAATACCACTTTCAAAAATGACCTTTTTTAATAACTCAAACGTTTTTATTTCATCTGCCGTAAATCTTCCATCAATTACGAATAAAACTTGGCTTATCCCTTCCGGCATCAAATAAATTATTTCCGCTATTTTACATAAAACCTTCTTATTGGTTAATTTAGTATCTCCAATTCCAATGGTATCAATCACACGATATTTAGTTCCCTTCCATTCAAAATCTTGTTTTTGAAAATTTTTAGTCTTACTAATTGAATAATCGCTTTCATCAAAATCAACAGTATCACTTAATACATTAGCTAATGTGGATTTACCACCACCAGTACGTCCAACTATTAATAAATTCCTAATTTTTCCTACTACTTTTATCTCTGAATTATTATTAGAGTAATTAATCCTAATATGATCAGGACAATATTTTAGATCAAGACTGATTAACTTATTATTAGAACAATCAAGATTGACTAATTTAGAACAATTATTTATTTCTAGGTTATTTAATTGATTATTGGAACAATTGAGTTCGGTAATTTCTAGACAAAGATTTATATTTAAATCCCTGATTAAATTTTCTGAACAATCGAGACTAATGAGTTTATTAAGATTACTAACATCTAATTCAGTTAACTTATTTCCAGAACAATTAAGTTCAATCAATTGATTATTATTATTTAGATATAAATTATTTAATTGACTACGAATACAATTAAGTTTTTTAAGTTGCGGACAATCACTTACAGATAAACTCTTCATATATAAAAGAAATGCCAAATCAATCTCAACAAGTTGAGAACAATTGCTTATTTCCAAATTAGTTATCATGTGTGCTTTCAAACTTATATTTTTTAATTTAATAAATCCATCTATTTTTAAAGGACCATCAAGTTTTAATCGTCTACTACCAAAAAAATCACGAGTATTCTTTTCGTTTATTTTTTTATTTTCCTTCGAAAGGTCATTAATCCATTTTTTGGCATTTTTTGGTTTTTTTCTTACGAGCATAATTTTATTTATTTTGTGTTTGTTTTTTTTTTCTTTCTGAAAGGTAACTTTTTTTTATACTTTAATCTTTGGAAAATCATTATATAAAGTTAGATCGTGATACGAAATGTTTATATATTATATAGATAATGTGCTACTGTCAAAATTACTCTTTTTTTACTTTACAATGAATGTCTCCTGCATAATTTCAGCCCACAAGATTTCATCTCCACGTGATTTGCTAATCTTTTGTTAGAAGCTATTACATAATTATTATCATAAAGAAAAGAGCTTCTATTTTTTTTTCCTATTCCGTTTGTTTTGTACTTTCTGTAACTTATCTTGAAATAGAAATGGAGTTGAATAATCCTTTTATTTATTATTTTATAAATTAGCTGCTCGTGAGTTTTCCGAAGTTTGATCTTCAAACACTTGCAATATATATTTGCTGAATTTGGAAAAAGATACCTCTAATTAGATTTGGAATTAATACTCTAAATACAGTAGAAGAGATGTCAAGTCTTATCTCCATGATCGGGGATAAACCAGTTATACCACTGCTGGTGGGGATAAATAGCTTATTTTAATAGAAGGTTGATTAGTATTAGTTATATCCTGGCTTATTAGGGATAAGTAAAATTTTAGATAAATGATTGGCCGATAGGCCAATCATTTCTAAAATTTTACTATTCCAGGATATAATTGATTTATCACATGCCATTTACAAAAATATACTTTATTATACTCTATTTATAGTATATCACGTTTTTATCAATGAGTATTTAGTTTTTTTTTTTGCTTTTCTCTTTTTTTTTCATTTTTCCATTTTAAAATGAATAAAATTTTATAAAAGCTTCAGAATTATTATTACACTTAAAAAATATTATTATTATCACAGATGAATTAAAAGAAAATCTTTCTCATTTAGAAAATGCAAATATTTCTGAAATATATGAATTTTCAAAATCACCATTTATTTCAAAGGAATCTTATGAACGTCCTTCTATAGAAACACTACAAAATTACAGTATGTTACTACTCAAAATACTAAGAAAAACACTAGATTATGGTTCTCCAGGTTTAAGAAATTTGTAAATGATACACAACCAAATATAAATTTGTTATCTCTTTATGATAAAAGAGTTATTGCATTATTACTATGAGAGTTTATTGTAATCATTAAAACAATAAAGTGTGTTGATATTACTATTAATATTACAAAAAAAATAATTTTTAAAAAATTATTATTATACTAGTAGTATAGATAGTAAAAATAATTAAAATAGTTAATAAATTTTACTGCAAAATTTCTTAGGAGCGTATAAATAAATACATATAAAATATACTACCCAGTAAGTATAAGTAGATTTGCATAAACATGTAAATGGTATTGATCAGAAGATAATTTATAAATGTATCATTTTTTGTGATATATCTGAGCTTATGCCACTGTTTATTTATTTTTTTTTTTTTGGAAAATTTATACTTTTTTTTTCAAGTTAGTTAAATTTCCTTCTCCTAAAAAAAAGTAGAAAAAAAAAGAAATTGGCATATACCTATGCTTTCTCTTTTTCAAAAAAAAATAAATTTTTGAAAAATTTCCTTGAATATGAGAAAAAAGAATATTAAAAATGAAAAAAATAGATAAAAAAATAAATAGCTTTTTTTTTTTTATTTTCAAAATAAAAAAAAATTTTTTATAAAAGAAAAAATTTACTAATATATATAAAATACATATACAATAACTACTAAACTAACTACCATTTGTTATCTGTTATATAGTAAACTATATCAAATAACTTACCCATAAGTTTACAATTAAAAAAATTACTGGAATTACTAAGCTAAGTCAGAAAAACCCTACTAATAAAGTTATTTATTTTTAAGTAAAGGCTTTTATTTTACTAAATGAAGAAGCAGAATACTGTATTAATAACTTTATAAAGAAAAATATGATTTATTTCAAAGGAAAATTTTTTAATTATGATGATTAGTATTTTGTATATAATCAATTATTTTGAAATATTTTTTCTATAAACTGATTATTTTCTAAAATTAAAAAAATATTATAACTTACTTATGCAACTTGCATTAAAGTTTTTGATATTAGTTATAATTTTATTCTAACTATTAGGTTAGATATAATACTATATATGAAAGAAAAATTAGAAGATAAAAAACTCAAAATTTCTGAATTAAAACAAGATATAACTCTAATAGGATTCCAAAAAACTTTAAAATAACTCATTTTTTTTACTAATGAATTTTAGCAAATTTGAAAATTAAAAATCAGTTTTTGTAATTATCTTACCATTTAGTAGCTTAACCAATTTATCTAATATTTTTTTAATATATAACTCTAAATAAGTTTTATATAACAAAAAAAAAAGTTAATACAAATCAAATTACTGAATAATAAGATAATTATGAAAAAACTGTTTTAAATTTTATAATTTTTTTTTTACTAATAAATTTTAGTAAATTACTATATATTAAATTTAAAAAGTTAAAAATCAGTTTTTTGTGATTATTTTATTATTTAGTAATCCAATTTAACTAAAAAACATAACTCTAATTAAGTTCTATAAAACAAAAAAAAGTTAATATAAATTAGATTACTAGATAGTAAAATAATTCAAAAACTGTTTTAACAAAAAGTATTAATTTTAATACAAATCCGTTATAAGTTATTTATTAGGCATTTACTATTTGATGATTTATATTAGTATAACCAGTTATTATGCATGTTTTTTGTTATTATACTATACAATCTTCTTATTATACTATGTGGAATACTTTTACATGATATTCTTTTTTTTTATCATATTTTTTTTTACTTATCTTAGGAATCAAATCTAGTATCATCTTATATATATTTCACACTCTAACAACTTTACTATCTAATCTTTTTTTTTATTAGTTAGTTATTTAATTTATACTTAAATTTATATTAACAATCATATAGTTATATATAAAAATTAATTACTAATTTTACGATACTACAGAGATTTATGTTAGCAATTTTCTAAATATAATATTCTATATATTTAAAAAGTATAATTTTTATAATATTTATTGACTATTGTTACTACAATTTTTCTATATACATATTATTTATTAAAGGTACAATTTTTATAAGGATTTTGTAGCTATCCTGGCACGTGACTTATTTATCACGTGATTTATATTTAAATAAATATAACAATTATTTTTTAATACACGTAAAATTTGCCCTGTTAGTTCAGTTGGGAGAACGCTAGATAATTTTTTATCATAGAAATGCAGGTTCGATTCCTGCACTGGGCTTTTTATTTTTATTTTTACAATTTTTATGTGTTGATTGAAACAGAATTATGATTACATAATCTAGATTCACGTGATTAAATAATTTAGCAGGTTGAGAATTAACTATGACAAATAAATTGTGACGAATAAGATTTCACACAGTGAAAAAATAGAATACATAGTAAAAATGTAACGATAAAGGGTGTAATGTGAGATGATAAATAAGCAAAGTGTTGCATATGCAATTAATAGTAAATAAAGAAACAAGTTTATTAACGAATCACTTCTTAAAGAGTATCTCTCAATATCCTATTGTTCTTTATTGTAGAAATGTTATTTAATATATGCTTTATTCACTAATAGAAGCTTTTACTATTGCTATTTACTAAAAGGTGATTCACAAAAGGCGTAACTAAGTATTGCAATTTTTCTGGTAGTGACCCAGTTTGCCACATTTCTTGTAACATCTTTGTTGCTTTATTTTACTTTTGTCACTTTCATGAGACGCTTTAAACCTTCTCGTACCCACTGGTCTTTCTTTACCACATCTTATTTTTAGGTTTTACAGTTAAAACTCATTCTCCTTATCACTGCCACCAGAATCTTTCGATTCTTTATATGATTCACCTTCGAATTCACACTCACTATTCTCATTTGCAAAATCTTTCAAAACTTCAATTAGTCATAATGATTTTGACCTATTCTGTAAGGCTTTTTGCAAAGTTTTCTTATAAGTACCATAGAGGGTCCTATACATAATTTTTTCATTGAGTATATTTATTCGTTGCTCAAGATGGTCTTCCTTTTCCTTATCTACAGCACATAAGTAACTAATGTTATGTTCTGGTATTTGATCTATAACAGTGCCATTGTAAAATTTATTAGCAAGTATGAAGGGTTCACCTGACGTGTTTATCTCTTTCTCGTACCATCAAGATGAAATTAACCAAATATGAAACTTTGCTTCTTTAGTATTTAACATAACCTGAAGGAAATGTTTACAGACTCTTTCTGTTCAGATAACCATAAGGCATGAACATATATATGCGTCATTCTTTAGGAGAATGATAACGTGTTTGGCTAATAGTGAGTTTCTGGTTTGAATGGACCATATTTCCTTAACACCATTTTGATCACTAACTTCCAATAATTGATTAATAGTTACTTGCAGACTATCAACACATTCATCTTCGTAAAATTCTTTGTCATTTATTGCACCAATATCATCACAGTCAATGACGTTTGCAACATAATAAACTAATTGATTGATTTTATTGCGTTGTAGATTTAGAATTGCTGGCGTAAGGAACTTTTCACAACATTTATCTATCTTCTTGAATAAGAAATTTGCCTTATCGATATTCTTTACCTACTTCATCGAGTAACTTATGAATATCGGTCATAAGTTCACAAAGGGACACGTCCAAGTTGAATAACATCCTTTTAATACATGCATTTACGGACTCATCTCGCGATGAAGCAATCATCCCTCCTGTGAATCTAAAACTTATATAGGAATGTGCCCAATAATGTTTTGAACTGTATAATCCTTCTAAGTAACCTCGCAATTGCAGATAATTTTCAATTATTTTTGCAAAATGATTTTTAAACGTCGCCTGCATGAAACTATTTCTACATAAGTAAAAATCTTGAAGAAACTTTTCATATTAATCTCCAAGAGGTTTACGAAAGTTCTTATAAAGGTTTTGCATTATATGAAATGCGCAATGAACTAGGTATATATTCGTAAATACCTCTTTCACTGTAGCATTGACTGCCAGATCAGAATCTGTTATAATTAGATTAATTACACTTGGATAAATGCCCATAGCTTCAATAATCTGATTAAATAACCAAGAATAAGACTGCTTGCTTTCATCAATAAGCAACCCTTGCGCAAAAATAATATTTTGCATGTTTTGATCAAATTTTATAAAGAACGACAAAGCCATCCCATATCGATTCATTTTATGCGTAATGTTATTAATAATGCAATCACTGAATTGAATCCATTTTTCTACCTGTTCTGGTGTCATCTATAATAAATGCATTAATGTATTATTATTATCCCATCCTCTCGCTATAACCCATCTGGATGCTCTTTCTTTTGTTCATCAAGCCAATTTGATATTTGTGCAGTATCATTTGAAAGTGATTTTGCTGTGGGCTGAAATCTTTTGATTGCTGTATATAAATCTTTACTGTAAATGGGATGAGACAGATACTTACCTTCCAAATATCTTCTTATTGCCGTCACTCCTATTTTGCAGTTTTGTGTTAAAAATTTGATATTCTCCATCATTTTATCGTTAAACCTTTTCTCTTCCCTAAATGCAATTACCTTAATATTCAACTTATAATTATATTCGTTCACAATTTTCATAATAAACATTGTAGAATTTGGATTATTTTTGTTGGGACAAGAGGCATTTACATGCCATGGGCATGCGATTCTTTTGGAACTAGTTTTTTTTTGTGAGTTGGACACACATTTTCTTCTATATTTACATATATACACTTTTCATCTAATTTTATCTTCATCTTTAGTAACTCTATCTTTAATTACTATAAATCCTCTGCTTTTAGTCCAACCACTTATAAATTGGTCACATAGAGGCCAGGTTGCAAAAATTTTTTTGTAGAATAGGCTTGCAGAGTCACTTTCAGCATTAAAAGTCATATTTCTAAAGTAGAAAATATTGTAAAGGAACTGCAAAAAAGAAGCAAAAGAGCAATAATATAAAGAAAAGAAGGAACTGAGTAATATATACTGCACGTGAAAAGAACAAAAAGAACGATATACATAAAATCAAAAAGAACGAAAAGAATAATACATGTCGTGAAAAAAAAATGAAAAAGGTGATATACGCAAAAGTGAAAAGAATTAAAAGGGTAATACATGCTGCGAAGAAAAGAACAATATATGCAAAATCGTAAAAGAGCGTGAGAACGGTTTACGAATTTGTAAATAAAACCGTGTAAAAATCATGGAGATTCCATCATGCATGCCAATTATTCCCAAATTAGCAAATTCGCGAGCACATAATAAATTACCACGTGAAATCAGTTTGTTTTTTTTAGTTGCCATACGAAACAAAAAAAAATTAAAAGACCTAGTGCAGGAATTGAACTTGCGTTTCTATGATAAAAAATTATCTAGCATTCTCCCAACTGAACTAACAGGGCAAATTTCACATTTATTAAAGATAATTGTTATATTTATTTAAATATAAGTCACATGATAAATAAGTCACGTGCCAGGAGTGGTGATGCATCACCATGATGATAAATTACTTTTTCCTTTTATAATATTTTTTGACTACTATAATTTTCTTATACCTATAATTTTCTTTATGTTTCTTGTTGTTGGTGGTTTATTTTTTAATAGACATTTGGTATTCTTTTGCATTATTTCTTTAATAAAAGTCTAATAAAGACTAAGCCTAATAAAATAGTTACTCAGTACTATGTGACCTCGTAACTGCAATACTATTGTACCTTACATGTATTTATATAAGAATATGATTAGTGAAATTTGCTGAGCTGCACTCAGCAAATTTCACTAATCATATTGCTTATTGTAAATATAACAATTACTCAGTACTTCATGCCGAGTAACTATTAAATATTAGCAGTTTTTTAGAAACCTACTTTAATAAGATAATTTTGATTAATTAAAATATTATTTAATTATAATAATATTGATCAAAATTATTAGTTATTTCTAATTTATAAGTAATATTAGAATTCTAAATAAATTGAGTCAACTCAAGTTGAGTTACAAATCAAATTAAATTAAATCAAATGAATCAATGATATTTTTGACTTATAATTATGAGTTACAGTATTTCATGAGTTGAATTATGAATTAAACTTAATTTGATTTAATAATTTACAAGTTTAATCAATTTTTATATATAAATATAAAAAAAAAAAAAATTTAAATAGATTATCAAAACTTTCTGTGTCCATAAATATAAACTAAATAGGATATTTTTCATTTTACGGCGGAAATATGATTTAGGCGTTTTTTGTTTTTTTTTTGTTAATTTTTTTAATATTTCAACTGATCGAAACGTTATTTTTGATTTGGCAAATATTATTGGTTTCCCGTTAAAAAAGTTAATGTTACATATAACGATCATTATTTTGTTGTATTGTGCAGTATCTTCGACCCCTTATGCATCGAATACAATTATAATCAAAAGCC